GAGATCATGAAGTTTGAGAAATATTGGGGCCTGGAATTAGGAAAAATCAGGACTGTAACCCGAAATGACTCATATCCATGCAAGCGCATAAAAGAGTCAATTTTCTCTTGGTTATTGCAGGTGAGATAATAGAAAAATAAAACAGAAACAAAACCCATATTGCTGCTTAACTTCAACCAGCTGGGATCTCTCTCTATTTCATTAGTGCTTTCAGACCATAAGAGCTTATTAGCATGGGTGAATCAATGTATACTTATGGCTACACGCTGTCTACCTGAGTGTGCTTGGCCACCTGAGAAAGCAGAGACCATTTAGGCCAGAGGCACGTTTAAAAATCAGCCCCTCATCCAAAAATCCTCGTGGACAGTTATTAAAGGTGCTAAAGGAAAGTTAGCAGTGGTAGTAAAAAAGTCAGAATGTATCATCATCCCAGTGGTGAAAAAAATCTCTGGAAAATTGTTAGGAGAGGCCTAGTGGATTGACTGAAGCGGGAGTGTAGTTTCATGTTATAGATGTTATAGAAAAGAGTACAAATCCTGACCATCTCAGTGGACTTCAAGATCAGCTGGGTGCTGTATGCAAGAAACCTTAGAAAGCCAATGTCCAAATAGGCAGGAAAGCACAAGACCAGGGGAAAGGATCCAAATCATAGCTGAGGAACTCAAAGCCTTTCCATGTTTCTTCAAATCCTACATGACTTGCCCCAGACAGAGTACAAAATGACTCCAAATCCCAATAATTTTAATACAGAGATTAATCTAAGAGCATTTGCAGAACATGAGGCACAAACCAAATCCAACTGGATGTGCTGGTTCCAGAAAAACAAAACCCACCAGACTGTACAGGTTCCTCTGGCACTGAACATGCTGTTATTTAAAGAAAACACCAGCTGAGAGAGGTTCCAACACCAATTACTTGTTGCAAATATGAGGCGAAAGGTTCTAGTTTCATTGCAGATCTCTCTGTGGTCTGCAAATACTTTATTTTGACATTTTCTCATACCAGAGGATTTTGCATCGCTGTTTACAACATTTCCCAAAGTTCAGTGAGAACAGTGCATTCCTTGGTGCCTTTGGCCTACCCTGAGTTATGGTAAAACAACAGCACCTCTCCAAACCTGTCCCAGCATGGAGCAAAGTCCCCTGGGATTTATATTTGTTTTGTAAACTGGGTTGATTGAGTGAAACAAAATGTGAAAACTTCAAAGGCTTCTTGTTTTGAATATTCTGCACAGCTGTTGTTTCACACTGAATACGGAGACAGGAGAGGATTTTACATGTGACATACTTGGTGTTGCATTGCAAAACTGCATTGTATCAAGGCCTGTGTTATGAAATTGATGGTGAAAACAAACAGCCCCTACTTGTATGAGTAATCCCATCTGCTTCCGTAAGATGCTCTTAGGAGAAAGGTCAAAAAAAAAAAAAGAGAGAGAGAGAGAACAAAAAGCCATTTTGCACTTGGAAGCTTTCTTAGTTTCTCTCTGAAGCCCTTTCCACCCAATATAGATATAGCTCAGTAGGTACAAATGCATGTATACTTGCGTGTATACGTTGTTAGTTTACATTAACTTACAGGGAAGCAAAGTGGTCAAGCTCTGACTGGAACCAGGAGGATGTTTAATCTTTTCTCATTGCTGCCACACTTTTGCCTGGCTGATCATGGACAACTGAGTGATCTCAAGCAAGCGACTCTGAGCTTCATTTTTTGCTGGGTGTAAAATGGCAGAAAGCAATGATGTTCTTCTGGAGAATTCTTTGAGACTTCATGAAAAAGCCAGTAAGAAGTAGGTAATGGCACTAGGGTTCAGAAAGCCAGATCTCCCACCTGGCACACTTCTACAAATGTATCTGATTCTGGCATGAGTGCTTCATTCTCCTTCTTGCAACCAGCCCTTCTCCAAGCCGATGGTGTTTTAGAGTCAGCAAGGCAGAGGTTAGTAATGCAGGGACAGTGAAAAATAGGAAAGCATTACCAAAAATCAACCCTAGAAGGCAGTAGGATCAGTACATATAGTACTGACCTAGGAATCATGTTAATTGATTCTAATTGGGTGCATTCCTGGTTACCATTGACAAGCTGCTCCACTTCTCTGTGCCTCAGTTTCCCCAGCTGCGATTGTACTTACTTTTAAAGCAAGTCGTCCCTCCTAGGTAAGATGTAATGCTGAACTGTACCAATATTGTCTTGTTCCTCCTTTTGGGTGGCCTTAGGGCCAAGGAATTGAAGAGGGGTTGTATGATCATACGTATTACTGCCTATTCCTGAGGTATTTGAAGACATAGCTTGATTTCAAGGGCTATTACTCCTAAAAAGAAAGATCTGTGTTGGTGTCCCCTTGATTTCTGTTGACCCTGTGAGATGATCTGTGATGGAGACACATTCCTTCGTGCTGCAGCTGGGACACGTGGCCTCTTTCCATTTGAAACCCACAGCTGATCTTCCCTCATGCCCTAAGGAATAAGGACATTGTGGAGATGGGTTTAACTGAATTGCCTATTGGTCAAAGGCTGATATATCTTTATTCTTTAGCTGCTCTGCTTTCCTTCTGGTAAGCTTTTTTCTTTTCTTTTTTTTTTCTTTTTTTTTGTAAACTGACTTAAAAACAAACACTCCTAGTGACACTGATGTAAACGTCTATTTTGACTAATTGACAATAACCTAAAGGGCTGCTCCAGCAGACTTCCCATGTTCAGCCTTAAGCTCTTTGTCACCAAAGTGTTTTTTCTCTCCCTGTATACAGAGTCAGTCAAATCTAATTACCCTTTAATCAGTAAAATCAACACCTGCTAACAGGGTGGGCTCTTCTAGCAAATACTGCTTCATTTTTTCCACAGTGCTGATAAATTTCCAGGGGCCCCATTATCCCTTTGTCCTGTTGATAAGGAGCTTTGACTGATAATTTGGTAATAGGGTTGATTATGTCACGCCTGTGAGGTAACAGTGGTGAATCTTCCTCTTGGCAAGTATAGTAGGAGTAGGTGAGACCGAAATGATATGTAGATGGTGGGAGCCAAAGGTCTTGATCTTTTCTCTTTAAAAATCAGATCCACCCTGGAAGCTGTGGGTCAGAGAGAGGTGATGTATGGGATTAAAGCTCAAAAACTGGCTCGTTGGCACCTTCAGTCTGGATCCTCAGCATGTGAAGAGCAGTTTGGGGAAGGAGGGCGGTTTCGGGCTCTTCAGGACTGCACTATGAGGGTGGACAGGCTGTGGGCAGGATTCAAGCTCAAACACATGATATACATGATACCCTGCTACACTCATCCCTAGTGGCTGGTAAAACCTGAGTAAGGGTGGTGCTATGGACAGAAGCAAAAGCAGAGGGGTTCAGAGGGCTTCCAATTGCTCCTGAATTGGCTTTTACCGCTCAGCACAGGCCAGGATGGATCCCTGGTAGAAATGAGGAATGCAGTACTCATGGCGGTGATCTTGGAAAGGCCTTTCATGTGTAATCTGACAGCCAGTCTGATTTTAATCTGAGATCAGTTGAAACATTGGCAAAAATGTCATTTACAAATGCACACAACTCTGAAAAAAATAGAGCCTTTTGGACTGAAGTCTCTTATGCTTGTTCTTGGCCTTGAGGGGAATGTTTTGGGGAAGTTTGGCCTAACTCCATCTGGATGAACAGGACAGAGGAGTATAAACCAGTTGTGGTTTTCGCTTGGGTGTTGTTCCTATTCAGGTTATTTTTGCAGGATGGAAGCTGCAGCTTTGTTCAATGGCTGTGGGTGGCCCTGCTCCATCTCCCTTTCTCTGGCAGCCTCACACGGTGCTCATATGTGTGTTATACAGCTAAAATGTCAGCACTGGCTTTACTGATCAAAACTAGTCCCTATAGCTACAGCATCACTCAACCTCTGCTCTATGCAGATGTCTTGGTTATTTGCACACAAGTCTATACTTGGCCTGGAATCAATGCTGATCTCTGGGAGCTCTTGAGGACCAGAGCCTGAGATCTCCCTCCTGCACCCAAGGAGAACAGAGTCCCCCTGCCAGTCCTCATGACAGTGCAGTCCAATTCCATGTTCCCAGAGCTCTGCTCAGCTTTTCCAAGATAGCACTGCTGGCTTGATGCTGCCAGGATGCAGAGGAAGGTGAGGCAGGATGAAGTCCTGGAGGAGCTCCCAGCTAAGCTGGAGCCCTCTTAACTCTGCAGGGTGAGCAGAGCTCGAGTTAGCACCAAGGCAGTGCTAGCTGGAGGTGAAAGCAATGGCTAGGGAAGGACACGGGTTTCCTGGGCTTGGACACTGTAGGTTACAAACTCTGTGAAAATCCTCTGTTGAGGAGGATAGCGGGGAGGCTGGTTTGGATGGTTTCTGTCAGAAGGCAGGAGGATTTTGTGGGCTGAGACCAGTCCCAGTCCCACAATGAGATCTCGGAGGGTTTGAACTGTGGGCCTGTGCAAAGTGTCCCCTGTTGTAGGATCAAGGATTGAAAACTCTGAAGAACTGTCCTGTAACTGGTCAGGCAGGACCCCACTTCTGCTGGCCTCAGCAGCAGCTGCAAGTGCCTGTCACTCCAGAAATCCGTGCGAGTTTGGGTGCTTTTTGTTTTGCAAATCCTGCCCACCCTTCTGTCACTCTGCCCCAGGGAGCCAGGATCCCAGGAACAGCCTAAGGTAATAGCAACCGAGCTCCTCCACGCCAGCGCCGCGGGGCGCGCGGCCGCTCGCCCTCCCGTAGCTCCCTGCTCCGCGGCGGCCGGGGCAAAGGGAGGGGGTGGCTTTTGGGGCCCCGGGCCCTCCGCCAGGGCTCAGGTAGGTCTGTCTCATTCGTCAGCCTCCCTCCGTCCGCGCTCGGGGGCTGCCAGGGATGCGTGCGCACGTGTGTGAGTGTGAGCGAGCGCGGCGAGCGCCCTGCCTGCCCGCCCGCTCCCCGCCGCCCTCCCAAGCAATGGGGCTAGCAGTGTCCTCCGGGCAATGAGGAGCATCGGACCGAGGCAGAGGCTGCTCCTCTTTTCCTTCGGAAGCAAAGGCGCCGTGGGGATATTTAAGGATGCGCTGCTCAGATGTGCCTCCTGCCTCCGCTTTTCTTGTGGTCTGTCTCTTGACGGCTTTCAGCAACTTTGCTAAGACTTCTGCGGACTTCTCAGGTAGGAGCAAAAAGATCCTTTCATATGTTTGTAGATGGGAGCTCTTCATACAGACTGTTCAGGAACCAGTCAAGGAAAGTGCATGTGAGCAGGTCTGGGGTAGTTATACAAGGAGCAATTTTAATCCTTTAAAAATAATCTCATGAGAAGGGTCTTCAGTAAAGGATTCCAAGTTTGTTAAAAGACTTTCTTAATAATCCTGAGCAAAACTATTTCATCAGAGTTGGGTCTGAATAATTGGGAATAAGGAAGGAAAGAATGTCAACTTCCGTAAGCTCATAGCAGTTTTTGTGCTGTGTTTCTCTGAAGAAGTGAAGAGAGCTCAGCTAGGAGACTGGGGAGGTCCAGAACACAAGTTTAAGCTAACACAGCAAGATCAAAGCATATTCTAACGGGCAGGATTCCTCTGCTCTTAACACATAGTGCCTGACTGTTTCAAAAGTCCCCTGAGCTCAAATAAAGGAGATGTTACATGCTGTGAATGAATCAGATTCTGAGCCCAAGTGTGCTTAGACCAGGGGAAAATAAAAAGTCTCATTTCTAAAGACACTGTAAAATATGAAACTAAAAATGTTTGTAGCACGTGTTTTGAGATGCGCACAGTGGTTAAATACCCTGCACTTGGATAGAGTGAAATTCCATGTAAGTTTTAGAACTACACACAGCTGCATAAGCCACTTCAAAATTAACTTTCTGCCTTTTTTTTTTCTTTGTGGATGTACATTTGGGTCAGGGCAAATGACTTCCCCCCATTCTGCAGTTGATTGGGGTGACTAATGCACTCAGGAATGGCTAGCGTGGATCTCCGCTCTTGCCATGATATCTGCTCTAGTTCTGCGTCGCGGTGTGAAGATTAGTCCGGGATACACTTCAGATATGTACGTGTTGCAACACTCCAGCGTGCAGGAGCTGCCAGGGGCAGCTTGCTGATGAGAAAGTGTTATTGGCAAGAGCTGAACGTGGCAGGACTCTGGCTTGAACACCTCGCAGCACTGCTGCTTGCTCCTTAGGTGCTTGGTGCTGTGGAGGGGTCTGCGTTAGAAAGGAGGAGCCTGTGGTAGAGGGGGGATGCAGTGGGAGCTTGAAACCTACTGAATGTGAGTTGAAGGGGGGAACTTGCCTGTGATTCCGTCCAGGGCAGATCTGCCTCTGAATGGGAGGACTGCAGAGCTTCCCTCTTCCTAGTGGGGTTTCATCTCCTGCCTTCTTGGAAATGAGCTTTCCCTCGCAGCTCCCGCTGCTCCTCAACGCAAGCCAGTTAATGCAGAGTGGGAGCAGGGAGTGAGCAAGTCGTGGGGAGAGCTGCAGTGTAGGGAGGGCTGGTCCTTCTGAAATACAGACTGGGTGCACCCCAGCCAGCCCCACTGGTAAGATTTAAAACTTGCAAAAGTGTCCCAGAGTGAGGGAACCTCCCCAAGCAGATTCAGTAGGATAGGGAGGAGAGCGGGGAGGATATTGTCAGTTTAAAAAAATGTTTAGGAAAATGTCTGTTAACAAAATCTTATTTTCTGCAGCATTGTACTGTCACACTTTGGGAGAGGCGGGATAGTTTAAAAGCCCATGTAGTTCCATGGTGAGGTTGTTCTCTGAAATATGGTCTGTAACTCTAACAGCACAGCCTGCCATGCGTTCCCACAACTGTCCATGTCCTCCTGGCAGGTCCTGGCTGCGCTTCACAACAGCAAACTTGGCAGGCACGTTGGACCCTGCCGCGTGGGGCAGGAAACGTGGCGTGGGGCAGGAAAGGGCTCTGATGCTGGTCTGTAAGAGCAGAGGCTGGGCAGCCACAGGGTGAGAGAGGATAGGAAAAAGCACGGTATTTTCTAGATCACATCTTATGCTTTCCCAAAATGTTTAGCGAAGATCGGTGCTAACAGCTCAGCCAGCAGCAGTGGTGCAGCCCATGGCTCTCCCCAGGGCTTGCAAGGGCAGCAAGGGCCCTGACAACCTCTCTTGCCTCATGGAGTGGCTCTTTTGTTGCTGTTTTGTTACTCCTGGATCATCAACTGCTGCAAGGAACTTGACCATAATGGTCTCTAGCCATTTATACACTGGGAGTTCTGGGCCCACCTAATTCAGCAGGTGGATGTCCTTGGGGAACCCCTACAGCCCCACCGTTTGCCATCCCGCCCAGAAGTGGTGCATTCGAAACAGGAGTTGTCTGCATTCCTAGGAGATGAACAGATTTGTATTGATTATCAGTGCTGAGGTCCCATGAGAGGCTTCATGGCAATTTGGCTGCTGCCCTCATCCTGGAGGGAGATACCAGAACTCATTGGGATGTAATGGCTTTCCCAGGTGGCAAATAGTGATACTCTTCTCAGAAGGCGGATGATGCTCTTCAGAGAAAAAGGTGTTTTTTTTTTTTTTTTTTTTTAAGCTAAGTCCTATATACCTTGCTTAGAAATAAAGCTTTTCTGGCTGCTCAGCTTGTTTTGGATCCGCATTGCCGGGGAGGCTCTGCTGTGGGAATGGCCTTTTTGTGATGGGCGAGACAACGTTTAGCTCTAGTTCTGGAAGGAACAGACAGAGATGGCCAACCTTGAGCTCTAAGTTGATGAGAGGCAGTTCTGATCTTGCTCACACACAACTTAGGAACTGTTACTCAGAGCCCTGCTGTACCCCGCTGCGGGTCCCTCGGTGGAGCAGAGACCGTCAGGGGTTGCTGACCGTGGCTGTGTCTGCAAGGTGGACACGCTGAGGTGAGAGGAGAAGCTGAGAGCAGCGGCCTGAGTCCCAGCAAGGCAGAGAGGAGCTGGTGGGGATCAGCGTGTTCTCAGCTCCCAGGTCCTTGAGTGCGTGGTCCTGCCATGTGGCTCCGTTCCTGCTGTTTGAACAGCTCCGAACACCACAACCTGAGCATGACGAGTGCATGCTGTGCTGGAGACCAGTGCAATCTGAGATGTAAGAATTAAAATTCCTTCTGCATGAAGTATTTGAACTATGTGAAGAGTTTTGAAGTTGTTTTCTTTAATAGTTCTTTAAACATTGATGTTTGCAGGAGTGTGAGGGGCAAAGGAGCAGGTCCCTGGGGAGAGAGGAGAGTAACCAAGCTCTTTGCAACCACTTTTCCCTAAGAAGGCCTGGGCTTTTTCTCTGTGGCTACTTGTTGTACAGGATCTTGGTCTAATGCAGTCTGTGCTTGTTTCTTGTGCTCATGACTGTTTGAAGGCTCAAGAGCCGGTGCCACAATATGTCACATACCTGGTGTTTAAGGGGAAAGCTGAAGACTGTGATGGGGAATGTGATAAGAGGTTTTTTTTTTTCTTTTTCCCTCTGAGTCTCTGTGCTTTGACTGTAAAGCACAATCCTAATGTCAATCCTACCAATGAGCCATCCCTCTGGTTGATACAACTTCACTTTTGGCTTAGCCCTTCTCTGTTTGTGTGGGTGTCCAAGATAAAGCAATGGTTTACCCTAACAGAGGGCTCTCTTCGTTCTCATTCGTAAACTCCGAGCCCTGGGAGGCAATAATCCACATACAGGAAGGGACTTTGCTTTCGCCTCTGAAACCTTTTTGAGGTTCCTTTTGGCCCGTTTCTTGGCCTGTCCAGGTCCCTCTGAATGACAGGCAGCCATGCAAAAAACAAACCCTTAGGTTTCCAAGTATGGAAGAAGCTTTTATGGGCACTCACACTTTTTCTGACACAGGAGAATCCAGCTGCAGGACACAAAGAGACTCCCTGTAGTGCTGTTCCCTTCACGGACCTACGTTAATATTTAAGATCTCCGCGATGTTTTTGGCACAAGTGAGATCTAAGCAGCATTTTGCCTAAGGGAGCCTGGTCTGGCATCAAGCCAAACAAATCCTGCCCTGTCCCATGCAGGGGAGCCCCGGGTAGCTTTCCAGAGCCCTCCCTGGAGGCTCTCCCTGCCATGGGAGCCACAGAGATCCCTTTTGTCCAAGATTGGCAGGTTTCAAGTGAAAGCTGCTTTTGCCACCTCCCTGTTAATTGGCTCTATGTGTTTGTTTGCGCTGATGAGGGCTGCAGTTGGGCGGGCAAGGGCTCTTCTTTCTCCCTGATTGCTTTTAATCAGCCCATAATAAAGGCAATTTGTCTGACAAGTCCATTCACCAAATTATCACCAAAATCTACATGCTAACAGCTCCTGAATGGCTTTAGTCAGACTTTGATACTGGTTTTGCAGTGCTGAGTAGGTCGATCATGTCGTGGGGGATCCAGGATTTCCATGTGCTGAAAGATGTGGGCTGCAAAAAGGGGATTTTCAAGGGAAGAGCAGGTATGCAGCAGTGTAATTCAGTAAGGAGGTTTGTGCTTTTGCCTGCAAAGGGCAAAGAGCCATATTTTAGACCTCATTTAAAGACTGAGCCAAACCCAAAGCACCTTCATGCCTTTCTTTGAAAGATGAGGCTGGATGGACCTTGAAGAGGTTGTGCTTTCCTTGCTGTATGTGGAGGTTGTGTGTGCCAACACATCCACTGCAGTGGTGTGGGATACAGGTTTCCATGCGGCTTCGTGAAGGAGGGCTGCGTTGGGGCAGAAGTTCTCCTTTGCAGAGGTGATAAAGTTCAAAACCTCAGCAGAGCTAATTAAAAAGCCAATTTTGGCTGGTTTTGATCATGTTCCGGAGACCTAGATATTGCTATGCTTCAAATGAGTTGCATCAAAGAGGTCTGCTGAGCTGAGGAAGGATGTTTGGGGCTGTCAGTTGGAGCTGAGTGGTCAAAGTCACCAGGGTTTTATATCCTGTGTGTCTGTTGGTCAATGGGAAGCAGTTTAAAGCCCTTAGGGAGGTGAGGGCATTGGAGGATGATTCCAGTCAGAGGGTGCCGATTCTGCTGCTGCTGCTGGAAGGAGAATTCAAACAGAGAAGCTGGGAATGATTCAGAGCCTTAGAGATTTGTTCCTGCTTGTAAGCATGGTGAAGCTTTGCAAACACCAATGCAGCAGGTAAAAAAGACAAATGTGTCTGTGAACCTGTTCGAGACCTGCTCTAGAAAATATCATGGATTTCCCAAGGGTTATGTAAATATTGTG